ATGACCTCCTGTGCACCCTAGTGATTTCATTGATCCCTAGGGCATCCTGTGTCAACCAGGGTGCCTTGTGTGCTTCACAACTCCAGCAGACCCCAGAGCATCCTGTGTCATCTTGTGACCACATTGTGCCCCTGTGCGCCTTGTGACTCCATATACAAAAATATCAAATATATATATCAATCTTTGATATATGGCTAACTAGAGGCCTCTTTTCCATTAATGTAATCAAATTTGTGTTTTTGCAAATTGGAGACGTAACCAACACTGTTGGCGAAAAGGTTTTTGTTTTTTTGTCATTAAAGTTGATATAATCCTGATATTAGTTTTCAACCCCTTAAAGCTTTTATTGAAGTATATCATAATGATCTTCTTTGATCTGTCAAAGGATTCACAATTGTGCAGTGTTGCTGGTCTTGTTATCTACCGGTATGCACCCTGTTAGACAGACATATCCATGACCTAATTTTATAGTTCTGCAGTTAAAGCTGAAATCCAGGCAAACAGCTAAAAACATAGATGAAATTTATATTCGGGATCTGTTGTACCTGCCAAAGGTGTTTATGTCCATCCATTTCTGAGATTTACAGAGCTCTGTTACATAGCACTGTCCAATCTGGCAAGCTAGGGGACCTGATATCTCCTTGCTGCATTTTCACTTTTATTCACATCTCTCGTCTCCACCTTCATCCTTTGACTGGGCAGTGAAGGGGAAACAGTAGACTAATGAGCTCTTCTCTTTGTCGCTTTGCTGTCTTCTGTCGGCATGCTGCTTGCACTGCAGCGCTACTGATTGGCTGCTTGGGCTACTTCTCCCTACCCCTGTTTAAGCTTTGTTGTACAGACTGTATGTATTAATAAATACAGATCTTGGTAAACTTGTGCCTGTACCTCTCTCCCACTGAGGGGCCTGCTGTGCCTGAGTCAGGTACTTCTAATTCTAGTATGTACATTTAATTGTAGTTATGTACAAGTTCAGCTTTATGCACTTGGAGTAAGTTACAGCTTAATGGCCAAAAGTAGTTTGTTTTGCATACTGTGCAATTTTACAGGGATACATTTTATTATTTGTTATATTTAACCTTGTAACCTAAACCTAGAAAATGTTTAAAATGGTAAGTGGTTAACATTTTTTCGTTTAACATGTTAAACTATGCTATACACCTTTAAATGTTTTCTAGTCTGCTCTTTTTTTTTAACACAAAACATGTTATGTCTGTAGTGGAAAAAGCAAAAACTCTTAAATTGTCAGTAAACTATCTGGTTATACTTTTGCTCCTCATCATGTCAACCCAGACAGTGTTCTCTGGTGCCCCCTTGTGTTTCTTATATAATGTTCAAGCTCACATACAGCTTTTTGCTATTCAGAATAACACTTCTTAGAGCTGAAAATTTAACTTTTTTTTGTTAACGGTATCAGGCAAGATGACATTTTTATTGTGCCCAAGTCTAGTGTTCGTAAGTAGTGTCAACACATTATATAATATGAAGAAATAAATGTACCTTCAAAAAAAATAAAACAATTAACATTTTTAGAATAACCACTACCACCCCACAGTTTGTACAATTTACCCATTTGTGATGTGGGTATTCTTTGCCCTATAACAAAGTGATAAAAACTGGGGTTGATCTACTAAAGGAGTAGAATAAGTTGACTTAGCCAACTTTTTGTGTACCTTTGTTCAATGTGAGGGTTAGGGCTCGTTGACACAAGCCTGAATGTTAAAGCAATTTGGCGGTCTCAAACTTGATTTGCTTATCATTTATTGTGTATGGGCACCTTAAAGCATCAGCCATTCTGGCAATGGCATGCATCTGTTTGTAGGACATTTCTAAAAACACATGCATTTAATTCTTTTAAATGGTCTTATTTACATTGTGTGTTTATGTGCTTTTAGGTGCATTCAGTTTGAGAGAAAAATTATTCTCTGCATCCAGGGGCAGATAAGATAGTTTAAACGTGTCTAGTCGCATATGAACACACACAGATTTAAATGCAAGAAAAGTGTTCTGGGAAGTATAAAGTTATTTTATTCTTCCCAGATGAATTCTCCTGCAGTTAAATAAACCAACACATGAGACTCGTGTGAATGTAGCCTAAGGCAAAGCTGGACATACCCAAACAGTCAGGTAACCCGTTTATTTATAGCAGCCAAATTTATAAGCCCTTTTTATTGTTGTCAGTGGAAGTACATTTACTTCAGGCTCTTTTACTCCTATGGCCGAAGTTGAACTGACTGGCTTGTCAATTAAGCTATGATTTATACATCTTAAATAAAATACTGTTTAAATAATACTGCATGGTAGGTGATTGTGTTAAATTGATACTGATTGCCAGCTGGGGATTAGTGCGTTTAGTTCTTAGCCCATTTGCAGAGTTAGAGGCTGTTACAGAAACCATTGACACCGGAGATACACATAAACTGCATTCGACCTCCTTGTATTGTTTATGATTCTGCATGACCTCAAATATGTTATTTACTAGTGCAGTTCTACATTTTGATGTGGGAAACATATATGAGCAGGATGTAGACCTACTGCTAGTGCACCTTATTAGTTTAATGACACTATTTTATTCACAAGGTCATGAGGTATTTAAAAACTGTTGCAGTATGTACTGTGCTACTGTTTGCATCCATGGCACATTTCTACAACATATACAGCACAATAGTTAGACATCTGTTTTTCAAGTGTCTGGATTGTGAAGGTGATTTTTGGTTGAGTAAGAGCATGATCCAAGAATTGAGTAAGAGCATGATCCAAGAATCAACTTCATCACAGAACCCCCAATGTGATAGCAATTAAAGTTAAGAAAAAGAAAAAAAAGTTTTAAAAAATATTAAATCAAATAAATGTAAAAATAATAAAAACAAATTCAAGTCTCCCGCCCCTCACAATCGTGCACATATTCATGTAAACACACGTCGGGTGCACCTACGGACAAAAACGACGATCACGCCACACATGCTGGATATCGCACATGCCAGGGTGAGAGCAATCATTCTAGGGACAATATTTACACATATCTCTAAATGTATGACCTGTTAGGGCTCTTAAAGTGTTGTCTATGGACTTTTTGGGGTACTGATTTTTGTCCCCTTTTCACAGACGCACACAATTTTTAACCTGGGCATGTTGGGTATATATTTATAAAAAAAACATGGGTATTGTATTGTTTTTTGGGGCACTAAATTTTACTTGAGTTAATTTTTCACTAAAATTTGAGTTTGATAAAGAGTTCCACTAATATTATGCAGCATAAAAATGTGCAATTGCCACCATTTAATTATACAGTTGTTTGGGGGTTTGCAGTAATTTTCAGGCCTAAAATGTGGATTATAACATGATTGCCAAAAACGAAAAAAAAAAAAAAAGGCCTTGGCAGCGTAAGGGTCCGTAAGGGGTTAATTATATATTTATTAATTGTGTATAAATATTAGCATCAAAGAACACCGTATTTCCTAGATATATAAAGTAAAACACAAAATCCTCATACAATAGAGTTTGGGACCATCCAAATCCATAAGGATTCACTTTAGGGTGTATAAATGGAATTGGAAAATATGGAACATATTAATATGTTTAAATTGTTGTTGTCTAACAAAAGCCAAAATTTTATGCCAGTAAGTTGAGATGTGTTGAATGAAGCACATACTTTTCAAACAAATAAAATAGTTACCAAGAAGAGTGTTTACTGCAATTTGTGAAAGGTGTAATGGAGATTACATTTCCCTCAACTTGTGGAATCATGCAGGGGAGTGTCACTCTATAAATTGTGGTTGGGAAACTTTTGAAGCACACCCATATTGTTTAAATACAAGACTAAACTTACCGTTGGGTATTTGTCATGAATCAAATGGGAAGATGTAATTATCAAATCACACTATTTTGAGCAAAGAACCCTCCAGTAGAACATGGATAATGGTGGGGGTTGCCAGGGGTGGAACACAGCCACCAGCACATCACATTGCTGACTGTCCGTGATATGTTCCTATGTATGATAAATGGTTTCAGACTGCTGCTCTGCCCACCAGAACAATACGGCCTCATTATGGCTACCTTAGCAAACTGTGTGTGTGTTTTTTTTAGGTGGTAGAGTGTACTGTATACTTAATTTTAAAGCTGTATTCCTAGAATTGACGCAGACACGGCTGACAATTTGGCCTACTCCTGTAGCAGTCACTAATAGGTATACTACAGGAGAGGGGCAGATCTGTCTTTTTCAACCCCCGACCTCGAAGAGTCCCCTGTGGCTTTGATATCTGATCTTGTTGATGTAGGAGGGCACAAGACTGGTGCTCAGGGGTAAAGAAAGTATGAATCTGACCTTGTATATACTGTTTGGTTGACTTGCAGTGAGCTAAGAGATTATCCCTAAATAATTTCAAACTAATATATAGAAACAGGCTTTTAAAAACATTAACAATAGATGTATTTACACTAAGATGATCTGTTAATGTTTATGGAAATTTAAAAAATCTATAGTTTCCTTTAAAAGGTTTAGGAACAAAGTGCAGTGACCCTCAGTAGTTGTAAATTTTCATTATTCTAAACACTCTAAACTGATAAAGGGTGAAATCCATGTACCTGTGTGTCCTTGATATGTTCATATTGTATTTTAATAACACATAACTGATCCTCTTAAATTCATACTGCATGCATGCTACTCCATGAAAAACCAACAGAGTA